CTGCTGGTTTGTTTCCTCAGCATTGCAAGGTTTGCATTTCTGGAGATGCTGTTGGTGGTAAGAGGGACCTGTCTGCTGTGGTGGCTGCTGGTCTGAGTGGGCTTGTACAAGGCTTCCCTCTGCTCTGCCCTCCCCACCTCTGCTCTGACACACAGACCTTCACTTCTTTAACCAGGAATTCTCCTTTCTACCACACAGCACGAGGGGACCGGGTCCCTCTGGAGGTCTTTGCAAGATCTAAAGAGGCAAACAGCAATGACAGGTCCTGTCCCCAAGAGAGCATCTCTGGGAGCTGCAGAGGGGAAGAGGAGTGCACCGGGATACAGGGGAGACAAGAAAGCAGAAAGCAGGACTGAGGTATGACATCTTGTGGTGACTGTGTTTCCTTCTCTGGGGTGAAGAACATCTGCCTTGGCTCTTCTGTCCAACACTGCTTGCACAGTTGTTTCTTTAAAGTAACTACCACCAACCCACTTCACCCTCCATGTGGCAAATGGTACAAAGCCCCAGCCCCCTACTACAGGTTGGACAGATTGTTCTCCACTACTTTTAGTCCCTTCTTTTGCAGGGGAAGACAAAGCAAGCAGAGCAGGCTCCAGCTTCTCCTGCATAAGATGGAGAAGGAAAAGGGCCCACAGAGAGTCCTCCAAAGGCAAAATGGTTGGAGCTGGAGCTTTGTACCAGCCCTGAGGGAAGGGGGACAGGGGTCATGGCATTGCCAGCATTCAGTCCAGATTTCCATGTCCTGGCCCATGGCCAGCGCTGGGAGAAAAGGGTTCTGTCACCAGCACAAAGCAGAGCTCAGCTGGCAAGAGGGAATGAACAAAAGTTCTCAAAAAGTTCACAAGGACTTATCTTTTCCACGGGGGTGGGGGTGGGGGGGTGGTGGAAAGAAAAAGAACAAGTGAGACATTTCCTAGAAATGAACTGGATTCTTAAATATTCCTTCAGAGGTCACCTCTGCCTCTCTCTCTTCCCCTGCCCTGAGCTGAAGGGCTGTGGGGGAAAACCACCCCCTACCACCTACAATTGCTCTGCCTGTCCCGGAAACGCAGGGGCTGACAGCAGCCTGGTGGGAAGCACACAGCTCCAGTCTGCAAACCAGCTCCAAAACCAGCCTAATATTTTGGTTATTCCCCTTGTTTTCCAGCACAGCTGGAGCCCTCTGTGCACACAGTGTCCTTGCTGGACCAGCATTTGTTGGCCGTGCTGCAGGACACGTCCATGGTCCCAGCAGAAAGCGGGTGAGGCAGCTCCCTGCTGCGGATGCTGCACGTTCCACACAGCAACTCATGCAATAACTTAGTCTTATTAACAGGGAGATTCTTATTTATCAGATTTAATAATGCCCTCTTTATTCAGCAAAGCCACAAAGCACACAAAGGGCCATTCAGCACCAGCTGCCTCCAGTGCTGGTCCTTAAACGGGCATCCTGGGGTGACAGCAGAGACCAGCCCGTGCCTTTTGGGTTAGGTGAGGAAAACCAGTGCCAGGTGGCAGGTTTTGGGTGCTGGGGACCAAGGGGAACATGGCACAGGTGTGCCCTGCGAGGTTTTGGGGAGCAAAGGGGTATTTGAAAAATGTCTGGACAGGGCTTTCCTGGTCTCCTTGGCCTCTCACAGCTATGAGATATAGAAATGTTGTCTAGTTCAAATACTAGCTGAGGAACTACCCTGAAGTGCAAGTAAGCAACCACAACACAGAGGGATGTTTCTGAGAATTTCAGAGAACTTCACAAAAAGCAGTGAGGGGATCTTCAAAATAGCTGTGACACAAGCTTCTGTGGAGCAAGAGAAGGGCAAAGCTGAGCCACGGTAAGCAAAGGACTGGTGTCCTGCAGGAAGCCCATAGGAGTTAAAAACCAGAAGACAGGACCAGCATCAAACAGAAAGTCACTTGTCTGCTCTGGAAGGAAAGGCACCATGAACATGTGGTGTCCCATGCCACAAGGGCAGCAAGCCTCTCCAGCCTGGCAGACC